ATTCATATTCCGAGAGTTTGGTAAATTCTGATAAAGACGAAAGGAAAATGAAATTCTCCCTGATCCCTAAACATGAGTAAGAGAAAGGGCATTTGTGCTGCATGGATTCAGCAGCTCCAGTTGTGCAGATTGAATTGTTCGGCAGCAAATATTCACCTAGACGGTTGTGGTTTCCTTGCACCACTAAAGATGAGAGTGTCAGCCTTTTAATCCTTACTCCGTCAGAAGTTCACATGCAAGGGAAGAAGTTTTTCTTTTATTTTTGGAACACCCAAGCCACCCAGTCAAAGACTGCATGAAGAAGAATGTACTGTAGTTGCTAGGATAAAGGCCAATTGGAGGAGCAACTGTCTATAAAATCATGCATTCTTTCGACAGAAAATCCCTGAGCTGAATATTCTACACTCTAATACAAGCCGCACACGACATCCTTTGGGTATCTCTGGGTTGCTGCTGAACAGTCTCGGATAAAGCCAATCGGGCTGCAAGGCAAAGGGAAGCTGTTCTGTCTTGGCCACGCCAAAGAGCAAAGTGAAGTTCAGATATGAAAGCCGACAATGTCGGGGGAGAATATTAATGTATTTATTAAGCAATCGGAACCGTCTCCTCTTCTGTTTTTGCCAGCATAAAAGAAAGCTACTTGATGTAGCGCATATGGCTTGAAGGGAGTACAAAGTGAAGCGTGTACAAGGGAGGGAGAGGGAGAAGGAGAGAACGCTCTCATCCCTTGAGGTCATTGGTTCAAATCCAGCCCCAGCAAATGCTGAAGGATGTTATGATCTGACAGCTCTTTGGTGGCCTGTTGCAAAGGATTTGGTGGTTTCTGACAAATCTTGGGTGGGCAGGTGTCCACGTTACATTTGGCAGGGAGTGGTGTTCCCGCCTGGCAGCCTTGGCAAACGGCATTGCAGAAGGAGCAGCTGGAAGGTTGGCTGCTTGATTGGATGGCAGGATGTCATCTGTGGCCGGGCAGGCAGCAGCCGAGAGTGAGAAGAGGCGGGAGAGCTGTCGGGAGCAAGCATGTCAGGAGAGCCCTGCCAGATCAGCCCAAAGGCCTGTCTGCAAGAACCAATCACTCACTAATTATTATTTAAAAAATTATCAGATACATCACCATCGTTCGAAATCAAAGATAAAGGAATGCCTCATACTGATGGGCATTAAAGGCACTGCCACTGATGTGCGCCTTCTCTGGGCCTTGTTCTTTCCTGCTACAAAGAAGACACACCATTGTCTGCAGTGATGTAGTGAAACTAACATCCAGAGGATTGAAGCGCCAGGCCTTTTTGGTTAGCGGGGCAATGACATTTGCCTTCTGCCACTGGGATTCCCTCTTCCTTCTCAGTTGGCATCAGAATTTCACAGTAGCTGAATGTATTTTCCCAGCAACACCAGTTTGTTGTGAGCTGTCTCTGTTATAATGCAAAGCATTTTGAGGCATCTGGGTCTTGCATGGGCAATTAAGACCCATGAGCTTTACAAAAGACCTGCTTCTCTTTCAGAAGGAGTTGGTTTGTCAATATACAGTGACACAAATACCAGGTTTTCAGAACTTTCTTGAGTAAGTATGAGTGTTTGGTCCATGACAACAGATTCTTTACACTTCAAAATGTAACAAAGTGTTGGTCTGGCACTTGGGAAATTCAGGTTCAAAACATGACTTGAATGTGAAACTCACTGAGTGATCTTGTTGAAAACAATTAATGAATAAGGGCCAGCAAATTAATTTTTTTACAAATCATTCCCAAACTGTAATTAAAGCCTATTATTTATTTAATTTAAGACTTTTTTTAAAGGATAGTGATACTCTAATGGGAGAGAAAGTGAACTGACAGATGTTGCCATCCTAACTCTCAGAGCAGAACTGGGGGCTGTCATAGCAACCTCCAGCCACTTCCTGCTCTTTCAACTTCAAGCAGGTCGGCCTGTCCAAACACAAGCTGGAAATGGTCCACATCTGGCTATCCGAGAGGGACAGCAGCCAACTCTCCTTTTTGCTCTTTGCTGTGAACACACACTGGTGGGTGGGTATGCACATGTGTGTGTGCATGCACACACAAATACACACTCATAAGCAACAAACAAAAGTTCTGCATCTCACTAATTGAATACATGGACTTCCCATTTTTGTGGAAACCACACTCTTAGTTTTTCCCTCCATGTGCAATTAATAGGACTCTTGCCTTTTGATCTCATCCAGTCCAACTTGACCATGTGTTTGTGGTAATCCGGTAGATGTATTAGACTTGAGGTTCTCCAGGGCATGGCCTAACCCTTCAGTGAGAATGATAGTATCGCCCTGAGCAGCTTTACACATCCCTTTCGATGTCGTCTTTGGCCGACAGCAGCTCCTCGGTGGGTAGAGCCTCCAGTTTGCCAAGTCTTTGGAAGATCAGTTCCGAGTAAATATTTCTGTTCATGTTACAGTGCCAGATGACGGTATGAAACAAACCAAGATTTCCTCAACTTGTAGTAAGATAAGAACCTTTTTTCTCTTCTAAACTTAAATGGGAGGCACATTTTTTCAAAGCTTTACCAAATGATAGTTCTTCTCTCTCTCTCTCTCTCTCTCTCTCTCTCTCTCTCTCTCCCTTTCCCTCTCTCCTCCTCTCCC